AAAATATAGTGAGAGAATGATGCAACTGAGAACGAGAGTAACATATAGAGAGAAGAAATAGAGAGATTTGGGAGATAGAGTAAGAATCAGTGAAACAAATAATAGGACCAAGAGAAAGAGTTCAAAGGCAAAAAGGGGGGAAACAAAACGATTGGGAGAGAGAGAGAGAGAGAGTAATACATATATATGAAAGAGAGAAAAAACACGTTAAGAGAAAGACGGATGCTGTTAGACAGCTGGAGAGGAAGTGAGAGAGAAGCATACAGAGACTGCTAGAGATAGCTTATATAGCTTAAGCAACTAATTTTTGTTTACATTTTCAATTTGGAAAATTTGTCACAAGTACTGGAATCATGAAACTTCAGTTTGCATTAGTAGTGAAAGCATCGACTGTTAATATAACATTTTCTGTTAAAGTAACGTCCGGTGGAAATAAGCTAAAAGAGATAAATTCTTAACACCGTTAATTATGTCTTACGCATAGCGGGGTAGGAAATCTTCCATTCAAAGATCTACATTTTTTAATGTAAAGCATGTTGCAATGCAGCACAAAAATTTAAACGAGCTCTCCAACTAATCAAAAATTTTCCCAATCAAAGTTTTATGCATTGGGTACCGCTATTGCTATCGAAAATATACTTAATATCAGTGAATGCACGGTAAAACCCTTAATTTTTTTTAAAGTGACTTATGAGTGACAATAGCTGAGTGGTTGAAATTGGGTACTGCCACTCAGGAAGCTTAAGTCAAGTCCAAACATCAAAAATTTTAGAAAATCATTTTTTCTGACATGGAATCAAATCTTCTCATTTTGAAAGACGCTCGTCCAACATATCGATGGTCATTGAATGGCGGAAGCCAAACTTGACTAAAAGAGACCAATAACAGCGCCAATCTCTGTCGATTGTGTAATTTCTGAACGTTTGACTAATAATTTATTGTTGTTTTATAGTTGTGGTGCTTTATGGGCTGTGCTTAGCATGGTTAAAAATTAAACAAGGTGATAAGAATTGAAAGACCGACATGGTGTGCTCTTCTTCCCTTATAAAATATTTAACGTAATAGCAATAGCAAAGATACAAAACCAAAAATCTCATACATTTCGAAATAGAAATGTCAAAAATGAAATTTGCCCAATGATATTTTTTGTGTGATTTGATAAAATGACTTAGACATTCCTTTCCTACCACATCGTTTACATCATTCATTCCATTTTTCTCATTATCTTTTTCTTAGATCTCAGCGCATCTACAGGCCGGCTCTAGATCCTTTATTACCTTTTATCTTAACCCGTCCCTGCGACTCTGTCGTCTTTCTCTTTACTCGCTCCATTGATATTTGCTCACTCTTTATCCTTCTCAATTTCTCTCTCTCTTACTCTTTTTTTCTATATCTCTCTCTCTCTTCCTCTTTATCCTTCTCCTCACTTTCTCTCTCTCTCTTTCTTTCTCTCTCTTTCTCTCTTTATCTCTCTCTATCTCTCTTTTTCTCTCTCTCACTCTCTCTCTCCCTTCCTCTCCCTCTCCCCCTTCCTCTCCCTCTCGCTCTCCCCCTTCCTCTCCCTCTCCCTCTCCCTCTCCCCTTCCTCTCTCCCTCTCTTTTTCTTTATATATATTTGCAAAATATTAGATGGGCTTTTTTCGAAACTATCAATTCTTTTTTTAACAAGTTGCAATTGACAAAAATATATTTTATTCTGCTGAAAATTTGTATTCTTACTTAACAATGCGGTAATAAAAGTTAGTTCATGAATAAAGTCGGTTTATCTGCCACATATCTCTACTTTTCTGCAAAGCAAATCCTATATTCCATTACATGTCTGTATACATACACATATGTATGTGGGTACTTTACCCCCAAAACTCGCTAAAAGTAAATTATTTTCACATTTTCCGAAAAATGTCTGGGTTGCTGGTATTAGTAAGTGTGTTTATTCGCATTGTCATATGCCGGCAAGTAAATGCTTCTGAGCACCGCTGGTTAACCGAACAAAGGCTAGAAACGTTTCAGCACTTAGCGCCACAAACAGCTGTGACTTAAACACAAAACGAGAAATGTGCGCCATTAAATGCCTTTTGAGCGTCGCATAGGTGAGGTGCGCGAACACACAAACCTCTGTGCCTGTGCCTGTGTCTGCGTCAGCATGTAAAGTCATTAATATATGCATATCTGTACGTTTTGTTAGCTCACACATGCTTATGCGATAGTCAACGTAATGAAAATGGTGACTTTGCCGGCTATTACCTTCATATGTGGGGCATGCATGTGTTTGTACATATGAGAGCAACATACACGGCGTATAAATGCAAACTCTTAAGAGAGAGGGAAATTTTTTTAAACGTTGTTTTGGTATTAAAATTCAGCAGAATATATTAATTTAACCTTTAATAAAAATTTTAGCTGCAGCAAAATCTTTCAATAAAAACAGCTGTCTTTTAGGAATACCACAAATGAACAAAAGTGATGCCGATCGCGCTTAATGAAGGGCATTTGACCTGGTTGCGGGATTTCTCGGTCGCTTTCTAGCAAGTACATTACATTAACAGAGAACTGAATCCTCTCAAGCGACTTTTAGTTCACTCCTTTACCCCTTACCAGTGCTTTTAAACCTAAAGTTGGAATATAAGATGCGTTCAAAAAGCATACTTTTGGGAATATAAATGAAAGTTTCACGCAACAATTCATTCCTCATTAAGATAAAGCTAAGCTCACAGCACGCAAGACCTTGAAGAAAATATAAACGTGCTGGTAATAGTCGCGTGCATTTCCTGCTCGAGTTAAGCATAATTTATGCAACAGCATGTGTGCTACAAACGCACGCATGCAGAAAAACGAATGTTTTATGGATTTTTAAATACTTATCCTGTTTATTTGTTATTGTTGTTGTAATTTTATTTTTTATTTTTCTTTTATGCTTTAAGAAGTGATTTTCTTACATTTTATTTAATATCAATTGATTTATTTAATTTAAATTTATTTTCTTTTCTTTTATTTTATTTTACTTAATTTTATTTTCTTATATTTTATTTTATTTTACTTAATTTTATTTTATATTTTTTTTTCAATTTAATTATTTTATTTCAATTTATTTTCTTTTCATTTATTTTATTTTACTTAATTTTATTTTCTTATATTTTATTTTATTTTTCTTCAAATTTATTAAATTCATTTTATTTGATTTTATTTTGTTTTCTTTGCTTTAAATTTTATTTTATTATTTTTTTTTCTGTTTCATTTTATTTTATTTGTTTTTCATTAATATTACTTATTTATAATGTAATAAAAATACAAACTTACGTTTATTCTATTTTGTTTTGTCCTTATATCATATTATAATTTATTTGTAATTAATTAAGTTTTTATTTTATTTTTATTTTGTACATTTTATTTTACTTTGCGTGATTTATTGATTTCTTTAATCATTTTATTTATTTTTTTTTGTTTATTTCTTTTATTTTTTGAATTTTTTTTTTGTTAATTGTTTTTCTTTTTTAATTTTTTTATTTTGTTAATTTTGTTATTTTTTCATTTTTATAAAATATAATTTAATTAATAAATTAATTTCATTTTTTTATTTGTTATTAAGTTTGGTTTTGATTTATATAGTTTTATTTAATTTGTTTATTTTGTTATAATTTTTGATCAATTTTTTAAATTTTATTCTACGTTTATATATTTTATTTTATGCTATTTTATTTTGCTTTCTATATTTAATTTAAAATTATTTTTTTTACATCTTTTTATATTTTTTATATTATATTTATTTCATTTGCATATTTCTTGTTTTAATTCATATCATCTTTTATTTTTTTTAATTTTTTTTTCGAATTTCCAATTAACTCTTGCTTGTGCGTCTAAATCCACACTTCCACACGCCTTCAAATTTATACCAGATTTTAGCTACACGTGTCTCTGCTACATTTCCTTCCACTGGCAATGTCATTTACTCTTAACCGAAAAATAAACAAATAAACAGCCACCAAAAACAACAATCAACCGCTAGTAAACAACGATCAAAAATCCAGCAAACACCAACAACAACACTACCACAACCGAACGATCAACAAGCGAGGTATGGCAGCAACAATAATAATACTAAAAGCAACATTCATGTATGTCGATGTACCAATTAGTGTATGAAATTTGTAGCAACAGGACACTTTTCGACATTCAATCCAATTTAGCTCCCCCACTCTGTATGTGCTGTTCTTTGTTGTTGCAGACTTTTGCTTTCTGCTTTTGCTTGTTTATAATTTTAGAAATTTTCGACGCCTTCAAACTTTTCGACAAGAGTTCCCGCGCCATGAAATTCGAGTGCCGAGCGACAGCTGCTTAAAAGCAAGGATGTATTAGGTAAACACATGCGAAGGCGTGCGGAAAAAGTAAATTAAAAAAAAAATGTTGAGTGCAGAGTAGAAACAAAATTATTTTGCGTAAAAGCTCATATGCAAAATTTCTGGGTACATAAAGAACTTTTTGTGATTTGATGGTGTGTTTTATCGGACCTCTTTCGCAAAAGCGATAATGGCAAAAAAGGTTATTTAAACAAACCATCTGGTTGGTCTGCACTTTACCTTGTAGAGACTGTGCGGCCATGACGCCCGCGCCGAAGTGAGAAGAGTTGCAGACTTTTAAAGTTTAAATTATTGACTTATATATGTATGTTGTACATTTTTATATACATATATAATCAAATCACTGTGTAAAAAAATACCAAATTTCGTTGCTTAGATATTGGCGCAACGACGGACAGAGTGCCCACAATATCGAAAGCAGCGCTAAAGCGGAGCCACGTTTATTTCGGTGAAAATCTTAAACTCAAACGGGTTTCAATTAAAGTTTATGATTTTGTGAAATTTGTTTGCTTAACAGAAATGAACGAAACTTTTACTGCATTTGTGTTTTTTTTTTTTTTTTTTTTTTGATTTCAAAAATAATAAATATTTTTTTATGAATCATAAATTCAATAAATAACTTTATTTTTATTTCTCTATTTCCAGTGTCAAATGAAAGTCATTTATAAGCAGTTCATTTTCTTCTAAGGTAAGTAAAATTTAGCAGACAGTGACAGTGAGCTTTCACTCTCACGGAGAATTATCCTTTAGAGACTCTTTGAATATATATTTTTCTTTTTAGGTTTTCAGCTTTTTCCTCTCTCTAACGTAAAGAGTTTTACAAATTATTATAACAGAACGCAGCTGGAATCTCTGTTAAAAGCTTGACTATCAATATTCATTCAATTGTTATGAGAAACTCTGAAAAAATTACTACACGAGCTCATATGGCATCAGCTCTTTATGTGCTTGTCTCGCTAAACAGAAGTTCGGTGGCAAAAGAAAATAAAATTCCTACAGTGGCAGTGCAAAGTCCCAAAAAGGACACCACCACAGGACTCATTCGTTAATTTTCTCAAATAATTTTCTCTATTCTGATATCCCACAAAGAAACAACGCTTTATTTGGAGTTGGCAAAATATTTTCTTTGTTTTTAATATCACGTCTTCTTACAGAGAAAATAAATAGTGAAATGGTATCTGATGTTTCTATCGGCAGATAATTCGTCGAAATGAAGCCATGATGCCATAAGGGTAACATAAGGGTCTTGGTAAATTCGTAAAATTGGCTCTTGACCACAGATAGCCAACAAATGGAGGTCTTTTCTTAGCCGCTTCCCAAACGGCTTATGAACTTGTAGGAAACAATTCTTATTTCATTTAAGGGGTGAACTTTTCAATAATCTGGTCAGTTGGTCTGCCCGTAATTCGAGCTTATGAGCTTCCGCATAGTATCTCTTAATATTTAGTAGCGGGATTCTGCGAGGCCTTCAAAATTATGTTTTCTTTAAGCTACCTACTCCAGATTTTGCTTCTACAAGAAACTCTACCCGATTGAAATCTATAGAATAAAAGCTATCTTGAAACTGCGCATACCCTAGGCCCACCCAGCTGGCTTGAAGCGACCCAGTACTTTAATAATTTCAATCGAGATATTCCTTTTCGACATGCTAAGTACACAATAACAGAATGCTAGATCTTTATACCTACTTGTCTAACCTAGTCCAGTTAGTATTTATTTTATGAGGTGACTTGGAATTGAAATAACTTCACCATTCGCATGCTGTTATCCTCTTTCAAACCTAATATGATCTCGAAGCATATAACTCGCGTAAGATTTACTCCAATTCATCAATCTCTTCCATTAGTCCTTTTAATGTATTGCATCGAAAAATGTTCTATTAGTAGTATGTACAGATACCCAGAGTTCCGTGTTTTAAGCAACTGTGAGATTGGCTCGCTCCAAGGAACTAGATAACTCTCACTTCTACCATTTGTCAATGTGAAAATGATTTTTATTAAATATGATTACCTGACACAGACTAAAAACCACAAAAAAGCCGTCAAAGCTATTCAGCAACCTTTACGAAACAAGTACAAGAACACCACTCTTGGATTTCATAAATTCGTTACACCTGTATAGGACTAGATAGATACCAGTTGCCTAGTTACTTAAGTAGAAGATCGCTTTAGGGTGCGGCTCTTTTTTCTTACATATGCGCAGATAGCTTACATTTCACTCACTGCTGGCAGGAGCTGGTTAGGAAGAACGTAAAATTGTTAGATAATCCATTGATATTGCTGTAGCATATACTTTTCAGTGGCGGCCGCTTGCAGGCTTTGATTAAATTTTAGGTCCATCCATTTGTTGGTAAAACCATACCCTTACCCCACACATTGCGAGAAGGAGCTAGGCCTGGAAATTAAAAAAAAAACTTTTGAGCGCACTCGTGCACGAGAGATTGAATTGACTATGAGAATGCCTTATTCAAGCTCTATAGATGCAAAAAAAAAAACGTATTTAAAAGAAGCTCTGCTAAAGCCTGATTGTCAGGCAAATCTGAGCAAAACAAAAAATCCTTTTGACTCTGTGAATACAGAATACTCAAATGCGTAAAGCAAAGTATATGCATGTATATCTATAAATATATGTATGAATTTCTATTATTTGGCATATTTTCTCGCGCTTCTTTACTCACAAACAGACTAAAAATAAATGAGCTGGTCTCAGCAGGTGCCAGGATGCGTGACAGGCGGCCGTGAAATGAGAACATGAGTAAGGGCAACAGCAGCAGCAGCAGCAGGTGGTAATGTTGCCGGCACTGATTACGTCGACAATTATTAAGCGCCTTTTGATGTTGTTTTAAGCTCAGGGTACATATTGTTTTTCCTTTTTTTCTTTTTCTTTCCTTTCTTCTCTTTTTGGCACGTTGGTTAATGGTGATTTCTTCTCTGCCGCGCTGAAGCCAGTTAAATATGCACAAAGCATGCGTATACTTTACAAAGTACACTTAGTTGGACTGAGAAAGGATATGAAATTGTATGCAAACGTACGCGCCAAAAATGTCTCGTACGCTCTCGCCGCGTATGGTTGAGCGCGCGTGCGTGTATGTGTGCGTATGCGTGTGGCGCTTAAGGATTCTTATAGTCTGTGTATGTGATTTTTTTTTCGCTACGTTTGCATAAATTAATGAGAAAATTCGCGCAAATAACAAAAGTCATGCGTTTGCGTTGGTAATTTGAACGTGTGTATGCGCTTGATTTCTGTGCTCAGCTGTAGCCCACAAATGTGTTGGCGAGTGAGAAAAAAGTATATATGTATGAGCGTGCGTGTTTGTTTGGAAATAATAAAATATACAATTTGCTACTTATAAATAATGTAGAGTAAGTGCTTGCATACACATATATATGCGCATATACATATGTGTATATGTATGTGCGCCTACAGAAGGCCAGCTTCATTTATGAATTTACTGTACCCAGCTGCTCTTCGGCGACCACATTCAACAATTGCCTACACGCAGAAAGTGGTGGCAATAACATAAATGGGTGTTGCATGCATGGCGAGAAGAAGAATTGTACAAAAAATAAGTACTTATATATATGCATACACGTATGCATTCGTATACATTTATGTTCATATATGCGTGCAAATTTATGAAAAATTAAAAGTGAAAAGCAAAAAAAATAAAAATAAAAATAAAAATAAAAAAGATGTCGGCGGATGCAGAAAGGCGCAGCCGCACGCAGTTATTATGCGGATTATAAGCGTGCACTGGTGTGTGTGTGTGTGTGTGTCAGCTTGTGCCTCGTTGATTGTTGATTGCGTGGTAGGCTGTTATAATAATTTAAAAATGAAATGATTGTGTGCTGCGGTTGAGCAAAAAAAAAAAACAAAAACAACGAGAAGTGTATATAAAACGTATGAAAAATATAAATACGCGAAATGAAAAAATTAACCGAAAAAAAATGAACAAAAAAAAACAAAAGAAATCCGCAAAATGGAGTGGCAACAAATAAAAACTGTGGCAGGCAATAATAATTGTCATGCATACACTCATACAAGTCAGTGTAAATTGTTCGCAAATGCGCGTAAGCTTATTTAACCCTTGAAGTCTCGAGCGGAAAGGAAGTGTGGCCATGCGAAAAATGCCCGGCGACTTTTAGAGTTTTTCTAGGGATCGGTAAAATGCTCAACAAAACCAAACTCGATACAATATTTATGTGATTCAAACAGCAGCATATTTCGAATGAAATACGATATAAAACAATGTTACTAGTTTTTGTGCACCAACAAAAAAAAAATATATAACAACAAAGACATAAATATTTATAAATAAAATAAAAGTTGAGTTCTCTATTACAAAACATATTTGCACAAACAAAAGTTCAGCTTTTCATCATTATTTGATATCGACTAATTAGTATGAAGTTTATACTACGCATTTCCACCATGTTTTGCTATAAGATAAACAATATTACATAACGCAAATAAAATATACAACCCAGCGCAATGTACGCCGCAAATCGGTTGTCGGATGGTGTCCACAAATAATAAAAATTTAAAACTGTTTTTTTTTTTTTTTTTTAATCATCTTGCAGTGAAATTACATCATTTATATTGATTTACAAATTTTTTTTATATAACGTTTTTCCGTTGCGAATAGTAAAGCGCTAAAATGCGCAAGGCGATGTAACAGCTCCCAGCACTAGAAGGGTTAAAAATGCATTCGAATGACGAGCTGTGTACATACAAGTATGTGTATGGTGCATATGCATACATTCGTACCTAACATACACATACAAATTTATGTTTATTAATTAAAATTTTTAAATTATTAGTTTTTCCTTTATTCGAAGGATTTTTAGCTTCGCTAATGAGTGCATTTATGGATTTTGTGCTTTACAGCGAAAGTATTTTTCACGACGACAAAAAATTTTATTTTTGCGACAAATAAAAATTTCATTAAACAAAGAATTTCATGAAGCAACTTGAAAAACATTTCATTTTATTCTTACAAATGAATTTTTTATTTTAAAATGAAAAAAATTCACTTGTAAAATAGATTTAGCGAATGAGCTGTTACCAGTGAAAGTAGACAAAAGGGTACATGTTTTAGTTGTCTAATTATTTTTAAGTTAAATGTTGATAAAATTTAAAAATATGTGTAAAAATATAAATTGATTTACTTAAGAACCAAAACAGCAGATTTTATTAAGGGGTTATATGTAGATTTCATAACTTTTTTCGAATACTCAAATTGTTCAGAATATTTCCTAAAATCTGAAAATATTCCGTTAAACAGTCTCGGAAATATGATCACATCATTAAGAACATCTCGTTTAGCGTTTGAACGGTTCCCATAACTTTAAATACGCTTTTCTCGAAACGCTGTTTTCGGAGCAGGTGAGAAAAAATGTCTCTGAAATGGCGAACCGATCAGCTTAAAATTCTCTTACGACCTTTCAAAATATATTTGTTTTTTAATATTCGAAGAAAAACAATTTTTGACATTAATTTCGAATTTAAGCTACTTTGCAGTGTAGAATATTTCGCTAAAGTTGAATTTTTTTGAGGCCTTCGTAAAAAAATGTCACTATTCCTTCGATCATTACCCGTATTCATTTAATATAATACAATTTTTTTTGGTTTGCTGGTTTCAGCTAATTTAAAGCAAAAATATCTTCCTCACCGCCAGACACCTTCGTG